CTTCCACGCAGGCTCCCCCCCCACCCCTTTAATTAAACCAAAAATAACCCAAAATGTTTAAAATTGCTGCTCGGAGATGGAGGGCAAACATACTAGGCGAGCAGATGGGAGGAATAAGGCGCTGTGACTCCATACATAAAATGGCCATGGAGGCGGTGAAAAATGAAACTAAAAAACAACTGTTTTCTATTTACAAAATTTAAATAAACAGAACAGCCTTCCCCGCGGTGTTTGTCTAAGTGCAGCAGCATTGCTGCTGTGTAGGTCATGAAAAGGTTGGTGCATAGTTTAAAACTTCCCATTCTGTTAATTTCTTAAAGAACAGTCGTTCATAGTCTGAGCACAAAAGCTCATGATTTAATGAGGAACAGAAACAAAATCTCTGATTGTTGGTGTTTCAAACTTCATTGGAGTCCTCTGGCAACCACAAGTTGATCCTCTGCAGCTTCAATACCCTTTAGCCCTCCATATAAGAGTACATGCTGAATAGAGGACAATGCCTGGTTGTTATGTTTATTTACCCTTACTACAAGCTGGGTTAACCTCTTCAAAACAGCTTTACTAAGCCCGTTAACCACACGGCCCACATGACCTGTAGCCGTATCCCTAATGTGATGTAAATCTGACTCGAGACCATATGCACAAGTTCTGCTGCATTGTGCCTCCGAAAACTACAAGTTTATTGCCGTCCAACCCTTCCCGGGCTGGACGCTTCCAGGAGGAAACGCTCTGAATAGCGACCGCTTAAAAAAAGAGAAAAGTCAAGAGTCCTGTGTTGTCGGAGCAATATTTTTAATGGCTGTTGCACATTTACAGAAGGGGATGTGTGTGGGGGGGGAATGCGAAGCCCGCACAGGGTAATGATTTTCATCACAATTATTTCAACTGGTGCGCAATTATTCGAGGCTTTGCCCTTTCTGCTGGGAGTTCTGCACCGGAGCGGGAAGAAGCGTAGATACAAATCGGAGCGATAGACCTGGTTTTCATCTGCGCTTTTAACAGAGCTCGCAGCTTACGTTTTGCCTTTCTCCTTTAGTGAGGTCATAGTCCTGCATTCGTAGTAATTACCGTGATGTCACACAGTCAGTGGTGTAACTTCATTGCAGGCTATGAGTAGTACACGGGCTGTGCAGGAGCGAGCCGTGATTTGAGTCGGGAACAGTGTTAGTAATTAGCAATTCTGGCAAGCAAATTATGACAGATCTGCAAAATGGAAATGAATTTCTGCTTAAGCTTGACATCTTTAATTTTTTTTCCCCCAAGTATTATAGTCATCTTTTAAAACAGCTACTGGGGCCCCATGGCGAGAGCTTCATTTACCAGCTCATTTTTTCTTGATGGCTGTGGCAAGCGTAACAATGTTCTGTGCCTGCTTCAGTAATGGCATGTCGATCATGCTCCCGTGGAAAGTAAATGCTCCCTGGAAAAGAGAGAATATAAACTTCCTGAGAGGACCTCTGGAAATCGTAGTTTCCTTGTCTTTTTCTTTCAAAACACATCCGTTCGGCAAGAAACATTAGCTCCCACAGGAATCCTGAATGAGTTTTAGGAGGCAAACTAACCCAGACGGGGCAAATGCATTTAAAGAAATGCGGTGGGCGCCGAGTGCTCCGAAGCGGAGGCAAAAAGAGAGAGAAAAGAGAAGCCCCGTGCGCAGCCCCGCTGTTTCAGCCTCTCTAGCTGGCAAACACGAGGGCCAAGAGCAGCGAGGCCGTGCGTGCCAGCCCGGGGGCCGGCGGACACCGTGCCTGGGGGGCAGCTCTGCTCCCCACGACCAGCATCACCCTCCAGCGCTGGGGCTGGAGTTTCTGCGGATGGCGGGCAAAGGCAGAAGCGTTACCTCTGTCAGGAAACAGCAACAGGCATTTGGTGGGGTAGAGGGGAGTTTTCCTGACTTGGGGGTGTGTTGAGGTTGTGCTGCTGCACCTCGCCATCACGTCTCCGGTGCTAAAGATAGGCTGGGCCTGTGCATAGAGCCAGGGGCTGGGGTGGAAGCTGAAAAAACCCAAGTGGCTGGCACGGTAATATTGCCCAAATCTGCTCTGGAGCCAAGGTAAAGCCCACCTGAGCACTGCACACAGGGAATTTTGCCTGAGCGGATGCAGAACTAGCCGGTGTGCCTCAGCAGTGGTGGTCTGGGAGCCAGGGCAGGTTTCAGAAGTCACTTTGCATTTCTAGGGGTTTTGTGTTGGTACCACGGTGCCAAGTTTAAAATATTTAACCATGAATCATAGTTAAACAGAAGACACGTGTTTTAAATAGGGCCAAACCCGACTTGTTCCTTTGGATGCTCTAATCCACACATATGTTGCTGAGGTAGGATTTTGAAGATAAAACACTGTGTATCAAGACGTGCCAAAGTTCAGCAGACCAAAACCAACCAACCAAAAATCTTACTTGTAATTCTGACAGTACTTCGACACATTCTTGAAAAAAAACAAATACAAAGACGCAATCCCTTCCCTGGCCCCAGCGTTGCGTAGGGCGTCTCTGTGAAGCACTGCGCACCCTTTTAATGTCCTGCTGCGATCGATACAGGATCACAGCCTGCTCTTAGATTTGACAGCGAGCGAGGCTAACCAAGAACAGGGCAAGAACGATAGCAGCGTGTGTGGCTGTGCATGCAGAGGGAAAGAAATGCAGAGGAGAGCAAGCCGTTTATTGTTTTCTGGTTTTCATTTAAGGCTTGATAATCATTATATAGAGGACTCTCATAAGTAAAGTGAAAATAGAACCCATTTACAAAACTGTTGAGGAAATGTGTTGCTCCAGTGACACATCTAGCTTGACTGAAGCAATATTAATTAAATACCAAATCACATTCTAGAACAGTTAAGACAAAAATCCACCTTAAGCAGCAATCTAATACAAATCAATATTGTTGGATGTAAGAACAGGCTGTATTAAAGCCATTAAAAACCTAATAGTTAAAACTATGATTTTATTCTAAGTAGGATTTCCTACTATAGCTTGCAGTATTTTAGGAGGGTTTGGAGAATAATGGGACTGATGGATACTCAGTGGTAGATGCTTCAAATCGAGTTTCTTGTTTACAATCAACCAATCAACCCTACACTACCCCAACAAAAACAACATTAATATTATTATTATTACTATTACTATTATTAATAATAATAGACCACTTTTTACCTTAGCTACATCTCAGCCATTTTCACTTATACTTTCAAACCTTTACAGAAAATGCAGCCTCAAACTATTCCATTTATTAACTGTTGTGAAAATAAATTGGGCACTAAGTAAACGTTTTATGACATAGGACTTCAGAATAATTTGGGTCTATGCAGTGATCTCCAACTGCAAGATACATTTTTTTTCACTGTAAGAAAAAGATGTTTTAATTATGCCTGTTTTTCTATAGGCATTCAGTCAAATAATAGCCATTGCTTAAAAGAGAAATTTGCACGTGGGATGACAGTGATAAGCAGAGATGTGTTACGGTCTGGAATCATCCTTCCTAGTTCTGTGAAATGGCTGACTTAGGAATGCAGTTATCCTAAGTACCTGCAATAGTTTGCAAAAAGAGATGGGTGCCTAGCAATGGCAATTCTGATCTCTGGTTCCCCGAGTCATGATCGGGAGGGTCTTTATCCCTTCCACTGACTGCACAGGATGCTCTGAAGTCAGGTACCTCTGCAGGTGCCTAACTTGGAGCATGATGAATCTGGGTCAGAATGTCTTTTTTGAAAGCAGGAGTTAATTAAACAGCATGCCTGTCCTCTCTTCATTAAAATAACATGTTTAGAAAGGAAACCAGGATAATAGTGTGTGTGTGGACACAGGAACACTGAACCACTTGAGATCTGCCGTATGTTCTCTTCTTGTCAGCGTGCAGCTGTAGTTTGGGTTGCTAGGAATTTGAATTCTTGAAGGAAAAAAATGCTTTTTTTTTTCCTAACAGCAAAGAGTAACATGAAGAAGTTGGCTTTTCTGCCTGTTCACTCTGAGGCTTATTTTCTCCCTGCTAATTTGCAGCGTTGAGCTAAAGTCCAGAAAAAGAAACCGATTTTAATGCCATTGAATATACTCTATTCACTGCCTCTCTTTCCACCCACAGGTTTCAACAGATAGGAAATACCAGTAATTATAGCTTTGTCCCCATGCTCTCTTTTCCAGTTCTCCTAGATGAAATTTGCCTTTAGCATTCTTTTGATTTTCTCTCGCACTAATATAAAGAAAACAAGACTTTCTGTAAACACCATTTGCTTTGATAGCGTTAATCTGGGGATTAATTTAGTCATAGATCTAAATTTTCTTTTTGGCTAATTTTCTCAATAATCTCACGCTTCCAGCCTGTGCTTAGACTTCCAGTAGTTCAACCGTGGGACCAAAGGTCTGTTCTTAAGGAAGCTTGCAGCGTTAATGGGAGCGACGGCGGGGTGCGTGGCGCGAGGCTGGGGTTTGCAGCCATCGCGTTCGGTGGCTGTGGTTCTCGCGCGCCACGTGGCCGCATACACCATTCAGTGGGAGCCTTTTCAGAAAGCTGCAAAAGGACCCTGCCGTCAGGCGAGTCAGACGTGTCAGACCTGCCCTGGGAAGAGACAGGCCCTCCACGTAAAGGCTGACGGAGGAGCTGGGAGAAGGAGCAGCCAGGAGGCAGAGCCGCAGCCGGTGGGTGCAACCTTCCGGTGATGAAGCACAGGTGCAAGTAAGTTGGGTGGGATGAGAAGTGAGGGAATGGAGGACAACCGTGGCCCGCACCGTACCGCTGGCTGGAAGTGCAGCCAGCCCTTCTGAGGAGCGGGTGGCTCTGTGGGCCAAAGACACTGCCCCTGTTTTCAGCGGCGCGGCACATATTCTGCTGTCCTGTCCAGTGCCATCCTTCATGCAGCAACACAGTGAACGTGCTAAGGGTGAAGCCATGTGAGAAATCGGGTGACTTTGGCACTCACCAGCCTGCAGGGTATGGGAGCTGTAAGAGCGCTTTGGCTGGGCTACGCCGTACAGCTGCGAAGGCAGCACAACACAGCAGAGGGGTTTGTATTTGCACAGCCTTGGGCTTCCCTCAGCCTGATCGCTGTATGCCTCTGTCAGGGCAGACTATCGGGGAGAAAGCAAGGAAGGAAGGTGAACAGGCAACGTTTCCCGCTTGGATCATCATGCAGACTAGCTAAGAGTCCTTCCCAGTTGACTGACAAGCAAGGAAAGACTCAAAGGTGTTTCCTTCTGGATAGCTCTGTGAGAGCAGAGCAACAAGAAGGTGTCGGACCCATCTGGCTCCTCTTGTCTCTGCCTGGTCACTGGAGCTGCCCACAGAGCCCACCAAGTCATCATTTCCTCATCTCCATCTCTTGTATCAGGCCACCTTCTCCAGGCTGAACGATGCAAGACCAGTACCGTGCAATTTGCTGCATCCCCCAGGAACCACGCAGCATTTGAATGCAATAAATTCACAATGACATTTAATGCTCTGTTAAAACAGTAGTAACATCTTTAAAAACGTAACAGCTATTTATGCAAGTTGCAGGCCATGCTGAGTAAGGCCTTAACAGCTCTACTTTGAATTTCAATATGCCCTGAAGTGCTTTGAGAATGGAACGGAGAGGGCTTTTGGCAGATACAGAAAACAGCTGGAAGGGAATTAAAATTATAGAAAGCTGCTAGGTTTTTTTTTAGAAGGAAACAGCAAAAAATGATAGTCTTGGAAAAAAGAGAATTGAGCATGGTCGGCCCCAACTGATACAAAGATCCGGCCTACAGACAAGGTAAGCGATAAAGCAGAGTTGACAAAGAACAGTCATTTTCACAGGTCAGGAGCTGAAGATACAGACTTACAAAAAAAGGGGGCAAATCAAGTTATGCATTAGGAATATCTAATGCAATAAGTTTCCAGGTGACTGTGGAGAGACCAAAGAGATTCAGAACCAAACTTTCTAAGACATCAGTTCGGCAAAGCTTAAGCTTGTACCTTATGAACCTCCTTTTGGAGAAATGTAGCCACTACCAAACCCAACTCAGAACTAATGAAGTTCAACATATAATTGAGGGCTTTTCTTTGACAACTTAGAAGAAAACTCTGGCCATGTGTTGCCATGGATCTTGGACATGGCTCTTACCATATCTATACGTTATCCTTAAAGATTGCCTTTACCTATAAGAAATGACATATATCAAGTAGCAGAAAGAGTTTCAGCATTGGTCTGTTATTTACCATGGCCAGAAGATGAACATGTTAATGCAGTGGTTTCTGGAACATGAAGACTTCCTCTTTTTGCGTGTGTCTCTATGTGGCAGCGTCTAGGAACATTTGCTCTGTGAAACTTTTGGGAGCAGTTAAGAGCTTGGTAAATCTATACGATCATCTCATAAACAGAGTACATTTTTTTTATGGCGAGAAGCATTTTACTTTCTAGAAGCTAAATGGAGGGGATTCAAAGTCCATGATTTCTGTATCAGCTGGGG